TATAGATATATTAATACCAAAATGGCTCCAAAGTGGAGGTGTCCGTTTGGTCGAAATTTAGATATCTGGTTGGGTGGTATAGTGGTAGCGCACTCGTCTTTCTCTAAGATTTTAGATTTAAACATATTTATTGGCCCAAAATTGAGCAGAGGATTATGCACAAGTTATTTCAACTTATGACCGCCTTTTCCTCTAATACAATACATGATAATATTTACATGATAACATTAACAAGGCATACATAATATATTTAACAGTTAGTAAATTTTATTTAAAATCTGTTGCTGGATTTGATAAAAAATTTGCACGTGTCTGAATACTTCTGTATTGGTAGTTAGGGACAGATTTTCATTTCCAAATAAGAATAGATGTAAATTCACTTGATCTATATTCAACATGTTTATACTTTGAAAAAGCGTTATTCTTACTCTATTATAAAGCTTACATTCTAGGAAAAAGTGCCCAACATCCTCACAGTAATGTCCACAAGCACACGATGGGTTATCAACAATCTTAACACGGACCAAATCACTTTTCAAAGAGCTGCACTGTTGTCTGAGTCTCGTATGTAATATATTTAGATTACGTTCGCCAAAATTATAATAAGATGGAGGACAAGAATTAGCGTCATTAGATAAAGAAGATTTAAAAGCATTCAAAGATGGTAATGTTCCACAGACGTAAACTTGATGGTCTGGGTTCAATTCCAGCAACTGACGTGGAAAGATATGTAGTAATATAACAGATCACGTGGGTTTTTTTCAAGGGTACTCCGGTTTTATCTCACAGTAAAGACCCCTATCGCGTTTCTATCCCAGCCAACAAAAATGATTAATATCAATTAGAAATTGTTTGGCAATTTCTGTAAAATAAAATAAAAAAACTTTGATTTAAACTCGATGTGTTATCTGTGCTGAAGAAGACGTTGTTCAACATTAATATCTTGTATCTAAGATATGTGCATATCTACAATAAAACTTACAGTGACCTAACGGCACTTAATGTTCGTTCTGACGGTCATGATTAAAATACTGCACATATTTGTCATCATCGCCATTATTGCCCAAAGAAGACCTGACCTGCGAGAAACTGGTATTTTCTAGATCTCCGGAATGGTCAAGAGATTTGCAAAGAGTTGTTTATTCCAGATCAATCGTATTTCCGGTCAGTGTAACCTTTTGTTACACACGTGAACGTGCGGCGTAAGTGAATGAATATGGTCGGCATAGAATATGACTCAAAATGGGTTTGACGCACATGAAAGTTGACTCGCAGGGAATAAGACTCATTTGGGATATTACTCACATAAATTATGAGTCACAATAAATGACTCACAATTGGTATAACTCACATGGAATATAACTTGCATGGACTATGACATACACGTAATAAGACTCATTTGAAATATAACTCACATGGACTTTAACTTGCATGGAATATGAAACACATGTAAAATTACCTGTAAACATGTTATCTCGTGCATAAAAAGATTAAACCTTACTTTGCAATCGCTTACCATACGTTGACAAGCCTCTGACCTCTCCTATAATGGTTTAGGATTGAATGTTTTTAAAACATCACCATTACGTGTACACACCATGTTTTACATCGTACTGGCTTCTCTAATAGACGTGTATGATCCTTAAACAGCTGTTCAGAAGTTCTGTGACACTCCGAAACATATTTACATCCACACTACTGTGTATAAGTTTTATCTCCATGGATGGTTGAATTCATAATGAAAGAAAATAATGACAAAAAAATCGATATGATGTAAATATATGGAAATTACATTATCTATGATACAGAGATGATATAGAGATATCCCCAAGTGTACTTTATCAAAAAAGTTGCAAATATGTAAATGAAATCCGGCATTTACTTATTCTAAATGCATATGAACACATTCAAGGCATACTAAAAAATCAAACCTCATTGGAAAGATGACGTGTTGTGATAACGTATGATGATATTTCTCTGTGAGGGACCGCGTAAGTCAGGTACTGAAGACGTCTAATAATCTATATCACGTGCCTTCTACCTCTAGGTCACGGATTAGGAGCCTACATGAGACAGTCCCCAGGTACGGGCTACAGATCGGTGAATTTTCTCCTGGAACCCGGTTTTACTCCACCATCCAAAGCCAACACGTATGTGAGTAACATTAACTGTTAAATTGGACGTAAACAGCATCAATTCAAGTGAAACTTATTCAGGGACTTGTTGACCAAGGAAGTTTTTCTTTTTTTAACTTTGAAGAGCACTGTAGTTATCTTACCGTAATCAAATCGAAAGCTGTTAGAGCATGAAACAAGAATACATACGAAGATAACACATCGCTTACACATGACGGATAAACAGCTGAAATATCATAAAGACACATACCTAAACTTAATTATAGATACACGAGAGCATCGACCACACAACAGACCTAACAACAAATTAACAAACAACCAAAAACAAGTGGTTTATAGGCATTAACGGTCATTTGATTATAAAGACAAATATATATGATATAAGCTCAAAATGGTCTGAATTGCGAATCTGTTCAACGGTTTATATAAAATAAGTTTTCGCTTCATAAAATTAATATCCTTAAACATTAAATCCTTTTCCTCAAATATGTTACAACAGCTTTATCACGACATGTTCTGAAAACACTTGATACTAGAGACCTTTAAATTGGGTCAAGGTCATTCATATAAAAATGTCTGTAGCATTTATCAATTATGTTACAAAACCAATATCAATAAAAGTTATCCTTTGTTATTAAGAAGAAGCCGCTTGAGGGTTTTAACACAATTGACCCCTGTGACCTTGAACGTGTATCAATGTCATTCATTTAAACAAAGTTTGGTGATGGCACTTTGTCCTAGCGTGCTACATGCTAAATAGCAACACTCTGGACATTTTGGTTATTGTGAAGAAGTCACTTTAAGATTTCAACAGATTCGACTCCTGCAATCCCTCTCACAAACATTTTATTTCCAAACATTTGAAAATCTCAATTTTTCTCATAAAACAAAACACTGATATCTGATAGATATATTTAAAATTTTCTCTCTATGTTTCTGAGAAACGCCTTACGTGAGACACCAGGAAATTATCTATTTTACAACATTCATAAAGTAAATTTCAACGACAGATATTAATTATACTGTTTTCCAGGCAGGAAACCAGCATTGGACTCCTAACACTATAATGAATCACGATGCCTCGAGGAAGTTCCGATCGGTAAGGAAACCCGGTCGCTTAAGCACTTGACAAGTACATTATACACTGTTCCGAACGGATCGTCGTGAACACTGCACAACAAGACTCTCGTTTCATCTTTGTGAAATTCGGTGATGTACAATAAGATTTAGGGATACATCAATTCATAAATCGGCAATAATAATATTCATCGCCCATCACTGTATGGAAGATTAATTACGAACTCACTTATGAGTAATGTTCACCGATCACCTATTTACGATCAAATTAATTACATTGAATGATGCAGATATTTTTTTCTCTTCTTCTTCTCTTTTTTTTTTTTATCCGAAAAATAATCCCCCGTTTGATATTTGAACACATCTAAACACTTTTCGACGATTCTACATAATTTATTTGAGTTTAGATCAGTACTTAAACATTTTTATACTATTGTTCTGTGTAATAACCTACCATGAACCTTTATTGTTAATATTATATTTATGTATCTGTAAACACACAGTATCAAGAAAACATGCCTTAATACTGAATGATTGTTTACCTGTCGGAAAGAGGAAGCCCAGTTTGTCGGATATCGACAAAGGACTGGAGCTTGCAACTTTTTATACATATTCATTGCTATCCTTAGAGACGAACTTTCCAAACCTAATACAAAAACGCAAACATATCGTGATTCAACTTGGTAAAAGGTATGTTAGCATTGGCGACGCGACTGGCGTAGTAATATATTAGTGCTTATCACACGTACAGGTGCAAATCAGAGCGCACTGGGTTCCTTTTCAAAAATTATTTATTACGAAATTATGTTAATTAAAACATATTGTATGATATATAGCCGTGCGTAACCTTGACATTTCCGTACTGAATCTGGAAAAATAACCGATTTATTTTTATATGCCTATGAAACTCCTTAGTGTCTGTTTTTTGCCCATCATAAGAGTCGGGAATTCCCACGAAAATAAACTGTTCTGTCCAATGTTCCAACACGCGTTTATAAGAAAGATTAATTATCTGTTTATTTCATGAAATGATATTAAAACCCAAACCCTAAATGTAAAATGTATGGATGGGTTGTCAGAATTCTATGTTCATTGGTTTGTAAACACGGACATATTTACAAGTCTAAGTGTGTGGTGCTAGATACGCTAGTTAGTTTATATGTATATATCCAACTCAATGATGCGTCCATCTAATCTACTGTGTAGGTAGATAACAGGTCACACTCTAATGAACATTAAATTATATCCAATCTGGATGAAAGTTATCACTTCTAGTTTTTAAGGTGTTTCCTATATTGGATCATTAGGGTCTATATTTTAATCAGATAAGTGACTCTGTGTTGTCATTGGTGTATCATTTGGCTATGCTTGTATGATTACCCTCGAAACAGCGATTTTTCTCATTGTTGTGAAATAAAATGTGTTATATAAGCTATATCCGAGAGCCAAGACTCCCAACCAAGGCTTCGCCCCTGGACCCTCTCTTCAAAGCATAGACTCCTAATTTGTTATTGCTATGTTACTAGCTGTGTGATAAACATCAACGTTACTTAAAAGCTGTAAATGCATACAATGATTTCGGACCATACATACATAAAAGTGTACATACTATTTTATATATACACACACACGAATACACATTCTGCTTTCTACAACATAAATGATATTACAATGTTTATATCTACCGTTGACCAATTCCTCTAATACCAATGGCATACATGTACATTTCGTTCAAGATATATTTCAGATGATTATAAATTATGTATATAAATGAAATGAAAAACATACCTGGGTGAAATTATCAAAATACCAAATCTATCCGAGTGGTCTGTTCACACTTGTTTCAATCTGTCTCACTTCACTGAAATGTCACACTATACTGAATTTCTTCACCTGAAAACACAGGCTAATTATTCTGAGGCAGACGTCGACAATATCAATGAACATTATGTAAGCATTGTATACAGATGTGTATGCTTCACTTTAAAACAACTCTTAAATATAGTTATATCTGTAGAATTATATGGAAGCCCCGAGTCTCGTAAATTCTGAGACGTTTACGGATATAAAGTTGTATACACAAGCTGATACGGAATCTCAGTATCACCAACGAAGAGTCCAATTATAAAGTTTTTTTGCTTGCTTGTTACTGGGTTTATCGCCAAATGAACAGCCAGGATAAAGTGGTTACCTCACTAAACCACATACGGGAGGCCCGTCACACGCCATCCAAAGAAGGATAAAGTCTCTTGGACAGTTCTCAAGCTTCTGAGAAAAAAACACATCTCTACGGTAAGGAGCATTGAACTACGCGTCAGGGGACTTTATCTGAGGTTTAGCACAAGTAGGTTAACACTCTAACCGATTTATATAACGCGACCCTTCTGATGCAAGAGCATGTACTTAAGGATAACAATGGATACTTTAAAATGTCTTCGGATTAACATATATGTTTATAAATCATGATTTAGGGTAAATCGTGCTGTTTACTATTTGATAAATAAATACAACTGATAAAGAATGTCATTTTCGACCCGTATACTCGATGACATCGATTTTACCCTCAATGGCGTAAGCTCACATGACCGCGCAATCTATATTTAGAACTCAAAGCCAGTGTCTTAATATGAATGGAGCCTCATTGCTTCTGTCTATCTGCCCAGTAGAATGTGGGTGAAAATACATACAATTATTAACTTGAGAGTTCATTCAAACGAAGTGCTACATCTATATATAAAACATCTCAAAATTTTATGTCACCATTTGGCCTCCGTAGCTTCTTGAAATGATTCAAAATAGCTTTATTTAAAGACGAAGCTGTGTACCGATACATAAATGCTATGACATTTTCTTGTGAAATTGATTTCAGTGCATGATATTATTTGAATCACTGCATCTTTGCAAAAAATGTATTGATTAATACTAAGGAACAGCGTGTGGTCGGCGAGTCTGTTAAACCTGGTGTAGAAAAACGTCACAAGTTGGTTGGTTAAGGGTACCGGTGATTAAATTCGCTTTTTTCATCGGTGCTGAAGTACTGGGCTGCCCATCCGGTGCCGGAACGTTTTTGATCTAATGCCCTGGAACGGGTTTTTGTACACCACACAATAGAATCCCTCGGGATCTGCAGGCTGTCGCCATCGGTCTATTTCGATGCTGGGTCACGTGCAGTATATCTACAACATTATGCATTTGTTGACTGGGTCAAAGCAGATAACTAAACTGTTTGGTACGAGAATTCGACATAACACATGTTGACCGAAAATCTAGTCCACAAATGTTTTGCTATACGTTCTACTGTTGGTTTATAAGAAAACGAAACATTGTTGAGAATGTCTTCAGAGGTATATTCAGCTAATCTGTCCATCTTAGCAGACGACATGTAAACATCGGACCGGAAGCTGTCGTTATCAGCGACGTAAGCAGTTATCATCGAGATGTTGACTGGCAAACATTTTTCGCGAGCAAATATCTGGAATTTCGGACTTAATTCACTTTAGAAAAGTATAAAGAATAATAAGCAGAGAAATAACAAATCGGTATGTTGCATAAACCCGCAGAAAATGAGATCAAACCCGCAACCCCAGCTTAGTAGTCCGCCGCTTAGGCGTTCGAGCTAGCTATAAAAGGGATTAGGAGAGTGAAAGATAAAAGGCGAAAACGATCCTCAACATGTACATTCAAAATCAATATAAATGAATCATATACTAGATAGCAAGTAGAAAATGATAATGATAATGAAACACAAACGCTGTGGAGATGGAAACGAGGCTAGAGGTCAACCAAACGTAAGTGTCACACAGCAAGAAGTTATGGTAGAAAATAAATTCTTTTTAAAGTGCGTTAATTATTCAAGACGAAAAATAATTTTACAGAAATTCTATAGCATTTATGTCGAAACAACTTGACAGATGAAAAAGTCAGAGGACGTTTGGCTGAAAAGAAAAAAACGGCAGACAAGGGCGGAGTATTATTTCTGATTACAATGATAAATGTCATAGATCAAGTAAACTTTATATACACGTAGAAAACTTGACATTATAAATGTTAGGAATGCGTTTTAGCTGAATTCAATTCTCACGACCGCCGCGTCCTGAACATGAGATTGAATAAAGTGTAAAACATTTCACCTGATATTTTAATTGAGTGAATATTCCACTCAAAAAGTTAACACTTAAGGCTTAAACTAGCTAAACAACACGGATATCAGTTAGATACAATATATATCACGTGACTGGTTGTTTAAGCTGTGTCATATGTATCATGGCCCTTCAAGCGACATTGCCACGATGTATTGTACCTATTACGAGAAACATCTGCGTGGCATTGCCATTATAAATCTAACCAGAATTATAAATGATTTAAGGTACAATAAACGCCATCAAGCGCGTGACCCCTTGATGGCGTCAGTATTGTGAGTGTAGAAATGACGACCGTTCGCAGTGTTGATAACGATCCGTTTATTAAAGTTTAAATCAAGATATAATCGGCAGAAAGCTATATGTGTTGAATGGTCTTGTAATGGCATTTATGGTGCGATGAACTGCCAGAAGGTGCAGAAAACGCACTATATTGTCCAATATGTTTTTTTGCCTGCTTAGACTGAAGTTGGTTTCTAGTTTCGATTAAAAAAATGAACTGGGGATTAGGTACTGGGAACCAGCTTCAGCACTCGACTGCCTCCACAGCCGTGGAACTTGTAAACACCAAAAGGACAAAAACCACAATTCTCTAATGACGACACTAGACCAGGGTCATTTAATGCCTGGCGACTGCCCTACGCAGGCCTTGCACCCGTGATTCAGAGGTGCGGTCAGACGCCTTAACCAATCAGCTTCAAATACATTCGATTGTCGGTTGATCTAATTTCCGGTTTCGAGCGCAGGGCATACTAAAACACAGAAAGATACGGGACAAAACTATACTAAAGTACGGAACAGATAAAAAAAATATACTTAAGAAGGTATTCTCGCACCTCAGACAGGGATATTCCAAGTAATACCCCATCCTAGATTTTTCTATCTCGCCAGATCAGTCTAGTACCCTGACGTACGTTTTCGCGGATTTATAAGCGCTTTATATTATTTGTTTTGTGTACTCTTTATGCTGTTAAGATTCCTGATGTTATAGATAAAATAAGATCTTCACTGTAAAAATGTGTTTTATTTACTGTAAGTGCGGCCTACATTGTTTACGCGGCACTATCCAAACATTGTTTGAAAATGAAGAGGCTGTGTGGATAGTTTGAGGCACCCACGGGATACGCCAAACTTTGATGAAATATTGAATAATTTTCAGAGTTGTAGATGCGAGAAAAAAAAACCTCATCGGCTAACACCTCGGTTGGGATTATGTTACAGGATCTTGGCCCGTGACTGTGATACTCCAATCTCGCTCAGTTACAGGTAACAGATTGTATCAATCCAGTCCATGTATGGTGCTATCATCGTCGCCTATTATGATCAATTCCATCCAGTTTGTCTTGCATTCAGTGTGTCGTAAACTGACAAATGTTGGCGTTTCGAAAAACGTTTCTGGTTTCAGAAAATACAAAAACACTGACTCAATGACCCAGCTTTCGGTAATTTTTGTATCACATAAAAATGCGCTAGCGGCAGTGCCTAGTTCATATTAATGTGTTATATTTTACCATCAGCTCGGGGTAGGAACGAGGCATACCCAAACAAGGTCCATATCGAACACTATATACATGATATGCGTTGATATTTGTCGGTTTTGACATATGGTGCACTCATATTCACTATATGTATTCTGATATATTCCTTTGTTCATTTATTTACATTTTATAATCAAACACACAACACAATGAGGATTCGTCACATGCACGGATATAGAAAACTCCAGCCGGAAAGGGTCCGGATGAAATATAACTTCCCTATGGGATATGTATGACACTGATAAGGGAGATAATTCCGGTCGGATACAATGCAAAATTTAATATTCGGGAAATAGAAGGGGTCTTGATATTTAATCTTTTAACCTCCTATAACCTCTGAATTTGATAAAGGTCAATCATTTAAACAAACTTTACTCTCCAGTCTATCGCATTAAATATTATAGACTGAACCTGTTTTTTTAATTTAATGAATTTAATACATTTGGTTTTGATGTTGGTCAAGGTAATCGATTAAGATGAAATCAATAGGTATTTAGAATATGTGAATGACCAATTTGCATGGCTCTATTCAGAGAAAAAAAGTTAAAATAGGTCAAGGAAATTTAAATTCGAACCGATATCACTTCATTGTAGAATGTTTTTTAAGCAAAACGCACATCGGCGTACTGGTTATACAAAAATGTTTTGTTTGTATCTGACTCATTGCAGCTTAGAAAAAAAATCCTGGTCATTAATTTAGAATGTGCATCAGTCGTTTATCTGATTTAAATAACCGTCAGTTTGTAGGTTGTTCAGAAAACTCGATCTTTATGCCAATGCCATGGGTGAAGGTCAATCGTTTGCACAAACTATATAACCTTTCATCAGAGATGGTACCTCCCATACACCGTTACCCCGTGGTTATGCGGAATGAATCAATCTAAGATGTTTAGCACGTATCATCCATGTGACCTTGACCTTGGGTCAATATTATTCATGTGATCAAAGATTTGAAAGTCAAACATGCTGCTATGCTAGTATTATGACTTTAATCCCTTCAATAGCCTTATTACGTGCAAGTAATTATAGAATTCATGTTTGTGTTGTATGTACGCCTTTTGGGTTTTTAAAGTTTAAGACTGATCCCATGAGAGACTAATCATAGATTTATGTGATGACGTCATTACTGGAATTTTGAATCTTACCTGAATAATTAAGAAATTTCTCTCATAAAAAAACACTTTCTTTCTATCCTTA